TATACTATCATATTAAGCCAAAATGGGTTTTTAATCCCAACCTTGTTGTGGAGCTCCAATCTCCCAATCTAAATTTCTTGATTTTTTGATTTAAAAAAAATAAAATACTTAGCATTTTATTAACATTCTTACCACTCCAATGTTTTACCCTCATAATAACACTTTAATGCATTAAGAACAAGCATCAAAAAAACTTTCTTTTAAAATCCAACACATATGAATTCCTTGAAAAGTTCCACATATATGATTCATTTATCTCTCATAAATAACACTTTAAAAGCATTAAGAACAACATAAAAAAATTTCTTGAAAAGTTGCAACACAGTATAATTATTATCAAATATTAAACTTTTAATATAATATAACAAAAAAAGACAATTTAATTCCTTGAAAAATCCAAACACATATGATTTGTTATCAAAATATTTAAACTTTAATATAATATAAAAAAGAAAAAAAGAAGACATTAAAAAAAATAGTAAAAAATCACAATTCACATATATAAATTAATTTATAACACAATTAAAATAGGAGGGGGCATTCATGTCTACACTTTTTTTTTTATAAATCTCATCCAAAATATCTAAAACAGACATAAATTTTATAAGGGCAAATTACATAACACCCCCCACCCCTCGAGTTTAGGTCAAATATACAAATGCCCCCTAAGGTTTTGAGAAATTACAATCACCCTTGAGGTAATTTTCATAACAAAAGAAAATTTAGGGGGAAATCTGTATGAAAATAAAATCCTCAGGGTTGTCAATTTGTTATGAAAATATAAAACCTCAGGGGAGGGACTGTCAATTTTCTAAACCTCATGGGGATCTGTAATTTCAATAATTCTCGAGGGTAGGTTTTGTAATTTGCCCTTTTTATAAATCTATCTATCTATCTATCTATATCTTCTATATTTAAGAAAGTGGAGTTTCTACCCCAAGCCCTGTGGGGCCTTCAAAATATCCCAATCTAAGATTTCCTGATTTATTTATTTCAAAAAAAAAAAAGCTCAGCATTTGTTGACTTCCTCCCAACCCACTTTTTGACTTCCATATATCTACTCCTACCGCCCGTTTCAACTTCTCTACATTACCATTATGGCTAATGACGAAGATTGTTAAATTATTTTTAATAAAAATCTTAAAAAATAATTTGTATATAAAAAAAATCTAAAACAAACATAAATCCACTTTTTAAATTCTATCTATCTATACTCTATCTATCTACTATCTATATATTTACAGTGAAAATGGGGTCTTCTAAACCCCCAGCCTTGTGGGAGTTCTAGATCCACCCAATGCTAGAATTGTCCAATTTTGATTTAAAAAAAAAAATGCTAACATTATTAACATTCTTCCACCACCAAGCCTTACCCTCATAATAACCACTCTTAAGTTACATTGAATGACAAAATATGTTTGAATAAAACAAAACTTTTTAAGAGTCCAACACATTATGACATTTCTTGAAACACGTCTCGCAACACTAGTGATTATAATTATTCCTTATAATAATTCAGCTTGTGAATGCATTAAAAACAAGTACTAAAGAAATTCTTTTCTTGAAAACTCAAACATATGACTTATTTATCAAGAATATTAAACTTTAATATAAATACATATATTATAAGAAAGAGATCATCTTAATTCTCTTCAGTCAAAATGATTCATATCAAATATTAAACGTTTAATATATATAAAAAAAGAAAAAAACAGACTTTAAATGATACAAAAATAAAAATAAAAATCACAATTCAACATAGTATAGATTAATGTAAACACAATCGTTAGTAATGCAGGTGATTTATGCTAGTACTCAACGTATATTACATTAATTGCAAAAAGGAGCCTTGTGATTCTTTAAGCCTACAAGACTTGGTGGGGAGTCAGATATCTCAATCATAATTTTCCTCTAATGTTTTTTCATTCTCAACAAACAAAAAAATCTGCAGAGCATTATATAATTTCTCCACAAGACTCCCTCAAATGTCTTTTGGGCGCCATTTGGGTCAAACCAGCATCCCCTCGCGTCAATTAACATTTAATCCGTTTTTTTTATTTAACTGATTTTAAGTGTCTTCTCTTACAATTCATTTGTTTTTAATTATGATAATATATAATATTATCTGCTAAGTTCAGATTCAGCATGTTATATTGAAAATTTATTTGTGATTGTATGAATAGTGTTGTGTTTTTATCAATTTTGTTTTAAAAACCAACGTAAACTCATTTTTGAATTTACGTTTTTTTCCTCAAAATTTACAAACTGAGACAACCATTTATAAAACAAAAAAATATCAAACAAGTTTTTATGACAGTTTTTAAATTTTTATAAATATAAATTGAAAATTGAAAACGAAATGGTACCAAACAGGTTTTAGATGGTAAAAAATGTCGTAAACATTAACAAATAATTAAATTAGTTATCAACATAAGAAATGACTTATCAAAATATTCTCTAGGCATATGTATGGTTTGAGTTCTTCGAAATTTTTTTAAAAATTAAAATTAATTTGGTTAAGAAATAAAAAAATAAAAAAATTATTTCATTTTGTTTAAAAATAATTTTTTTATTTCTTATTTCTTAACCAAATTAATTTTTTAATTTAAAAAAAATCTAAAATCAAACCATACATAACTAAGAATCTTTTGATAAGTTCATTTTTACGTTGGTAACTTATATTATTGTTAATTTTACGATATTTTTACCATTGAGACCTGTTGGTAACCATTTGTTTTAGTTTCAATTTATATTTTACAAAAATTTAAAAAAACTGTCATAAAGCTTGTTTGATAAATTTTTTTAGTTTATAAAATGATTGTTTAGTTTTGTAACCTTGAGAAAAAAACAGTAAATTCAAAAAATGAGTTTTCGCTGGTTTTAAACAAAAATTTACAAATTTCTTAACAAAATTATTTTTTCAATTAATTTTTTTCAATTAATATTTTTTATGATTTTTTTCCAATTAATAATAAAGTTTGTACGACGTGTATATGGCGTGCCGTTAATACATCAATTACACACGACGCACATACGATAACCGTAAAAAAATATTACACTTTTCACAGCGCACACAAAAGTCAGTCGTTTAAAATATTAAATTTTCACGACGCACAAAAAGTCAACGTTAAAAATATTAAAAACTTTTTTATTTGACGCATAATCTAAAAGTCGTTAATAATAAGATCAAAAAAAATAGCGCGAAAAATAATTTTCTCCAAAAAAAAAAAAAAAAAAAGCGCAAAATAAATTCTCTTATACGCTTTTTCCCCCAAGAAATCTCTTTGGCTTCTAATTGGTTCTAATTTGGAAAGGGAAACAGTAGGAAGGGAAGGGTTTCAATCTCTGTAAGACCGAATCGATCTCTCTTGTTGTATCTGAAATCAGAGTTATCCATCTCTCTTCATGGTGTTCTTCCTGTAAGGAGTCCTTAAAGCAACGATCACTACAAGAAATTACATTTTTGGCGACTACTTTTGCGACGACGTCAATTTTCATCGCCAAAAATATATTTTGGCGACACAGTGATCAATTTGTTGGTAAAAGTATACCTTTTACCGACGCAATTTGTTGCCGTCGCAAAAAAGCATAACATTATTTTTAGCGCCAAATTTTTTGGTTGGCGCCAAAATTTCAAAACTTTACCTACGAGGCTTATGTTTTAGCACACACAATGAGGCGTTGCTATTAGTGTGTTTACTTTTGGCGATGACAAGTTGCGTGGGCAAAGAGTTAAACATTTAGGACGATAACACTATTCGTCGGTAAAAGTTTGCTAGGTGAAACAAGGTGATCTAGTGATTTGTGTTTTTTATTATAACTTTTGAAAGAATTTTAAATATTCTAGTTATTGAATTGTAAAATTAATGCTGATCATTGAATTAGATCACAAAAAATGAACCCATCAAGCCCAAACACACTCTTTAAGTTGAGATGTTAATTTGAGATAATTTAGAAAAGTGGTTAGATTATCAATTTCAATATGTTTAGTTTTATTTTTCATAAACTAGTTTCAAATTTTTTTTCTAAAAAAATTAAAAAAAAAATGGTGAAAAATTTAAAAATATTATTATTTTTGTATAATTTTATCTTTTAGGTCATCAAATAATTTTTAAAATTTAAAAATATATTTTTGATTTTTATTACTCTCAAATTAATTTTAATTTTTTCAAAAAAAACAAATCTAAAAATTGTTTCGGATATATATTTTTTTTAAGTGTGATCTGCCCTTTGGTGAGGCAGTGGCAATTTCCCTCCCAAAATTCCACCCCTCCCCTCCCTTCTTTTTTTTTTTTTTTCTTCCTCCTCATCAAATCTCCCTCCATCACTCTCTACGATTTCACTCTTGCACACCCTTCTCTCAACAATTCGTAGTCTCTCTTCCTCATGATTTCACTTTGATCACTGGGTTTGTTGCCGTTGCTGCTGCCGTGCGAGACGGTCGGTGCTTCACTCTGCCCCTATTAGATTTGTTCCCTTTTTGCTTTGTATCTCTCTCTCTCTCTCTCTCTCTCTCAATTTCTTAAATTATAAATAGCTTTGATTTTTATTTTGTCCCTTTCCCAGACTATACAGTCAATTGGAGTGAAGCGTTGAGTAGTAAATTTAATTAATTCCAAGTGATCGAAACTTGACAACGATGACGAAGGTGTGCACGTTAAACCAGTAGAGAGAGAGAGAGAGAGAGAGAGAGAGAGGAGCCGTGTTGTGCCCTGTATCTGGATGCGACTCGATCGGCGATGCCTAAGATGAAGCATCTGTTGCGAAAGCTTCACATCGGCGGTGGCTGCAACAACGGCAACCACCACCCGTCGCCGCCGCAGACGGCGGAAGTGACGCCGCCGTCGTCTTCTTCTTCGGCTTCGTTGGAATCGGCATTGATGAGAATCAGAGCGGTTGAGTCGGCGGAGAATTCGGTTGATTTCAATTTCTTTGAAGAGGAGTTTCAGGTACAACTTGCCCTAGCGATCAGTGTTTCTGACCCCGATTCACGCTAAGATCCTGAAACGGTGCAGATCAAGGACGCCAAGCAGATTAGCTTAGGGTGTGTGCCCTCTGAAACCCTGACTGAGTCTCTCTCTTCGGTATTGGGTAATGCTTTAATTTTGTTTTTTACATTGCATATGGCAATCTTTTGTATGTGCTTTGGTTGCATTTATTGGCAAATTTGATCGAATTGCTTCAATATTCTTACTCCAGATCTGTGTTTTTTTGTTTATAGATATTAATGAGTCACATTTCAATTTTAGATTTGATTCATAGCTTCAAATTGATTAGATTCTACTATAGTTATTTTTGTGTACATATGTACCAAGGTTTCAAATAATGGTGGCATTGATGCGGTTTTGAGGTGTAACGGGCTTAGCATAACTGGTGCGGCAACCAAAGCTGTGAAATTGCATTTGTTGAGGTTTAAAATGTCTTTTTAAGTGGATTTAGTACTAATTTTTATATGATTTTTAATGGTGTCGTAATGACCAGTTAGGGGTTTTACATGAATTTATCTGTTTTAGAGAAATGAATCCAGATGCTGTCATTCAAATAATAATAAATCACTACTAAGGACAATTATGTGCAAAATACGATGATTATTTATTTATCATTTGATAAAGCGCATGTTGGGTAGTTGTTTATTAAGTTTGATTAGTCACATAGTCATTCTATGCCAATTAATGGTGTAAATCTGAGTTTGGGGGTGAAGGAACTTATATTATGGAATTACTGCTGATGCTTTCATTTTGGAATAATTTGTGATAGCTACAACTATACAAAAATGCATATTTACTCAAACTATTAAATCTTAATGATAAAAACTGGATGGCACATGCTTGATTGAAACACATGGTTACACCTCTCTCCATGCGTGTGCATGCAACATATTACTCTCTTTTCTCCATGTTCAATTTCTATACCAATATTGATACGACATAAAGAACTCTGAATTTGGTATGCACTTACTAGTTCTTGTATTAAAGCTACTACAGGTTATTGTTGTTGTCTTCTTTAGCTTAATACACATGAATAACTGAAAGTCTGGAATTTTTATTTTTTAATCTTTCATAAAATTGCAGTGATTCTTTTTGATGGTGTGAAGTATAGTATATATATATATATTTGGGCTCTAATTGAAGCTGATAACTCTGCGACATAGGTTTTGAGGCAATTTGATAAATGACATGACCCTTCATGTAGGTGTGATGTTTTGCAAAAGGATCATGGAGAATCATGTCCATTGTTAACATCATATAAATGCTCCTAATTAACATAGTGTAGTGTATATTTGATAATTTGACTTGCAGTCAATCCAAAGAGAAGGCAACAATAGATATGCACCAAATTCCATTCAAAAAAACAATACAAGATTATATTCATATTACTCTAGGACATATCCTTACTAGTCAAATTATTGCTGCTAAAATTATTTGTTGGTCAATATAACCTCTAGCAAAATGAGTAATACAAGTGGGGCAGCAGTGAAGACAATGGTGAACAAATATTAAGTTTTGTTGTCTAGGCTTGATTATTCATATAAATGGAGAGATTGAAGAGATGTGTACCATAGAATTAAGGTTAAGAGATGGTCTAATTGGAGAAGGGATTCAGTTGTATTGTGTATTCAAGGTATACAACTGCAATTAAAATTTAATTTTTAGGAAAGAACCATTTTCTATTGGAGAGAATGTTGTGTAATCAATGATCACATAGGGCGAGCATGGTAGAAACTGAGATCTTTTGATTGATGTATGGGAAGGCAATAAAGGATAAAATTAGGAATTAGTGTTTTCTTAAGATTGTGCAAGTAGAATTCATTGGAGACTGAGAGAAAACAAATTAAGATGGTTGGATAACATGCAAAAGAGATGATTGATTGCATGGTTTAGGAAAATGATGAGATCTAGGAAATGCAAGGATAAAAGAGAACCAAAAAGCGCAGACATTTCTACGCAATGTGTCCTATTATCTTTCAAATTTTCTTTTGCATGCAACACACTGCGGGCACTTGGAGGAGATGTGTGTCCATCACTTACACATACATGGAACACATTGCAATTTTGAAGAAAATAACTTGAAAGCCAATGATTAAATTCAGAATATACCTTTTTTAATATATTTTATTTAATCCCTTCTCCTTTAGGTGTGTAATTCGGGATTTCTAAAGCCTAAAATTTTCATTTTATTTATGAGTATAGCCTTGTAATGTAGATGTTAGTACTTCTTGTTCACACTTCTTTTTCAATATATAGAATGTGAAAAATATTTTCTTAATATTTTGATATAATAGAATAAAAATGTATTTCCATTGTAAAAATTGAAGAAATTGTTATTATTCTTTTATATATGTAAAAATCTATATTTATGTGTTGTGTCCCTCTCGTGTGGTCTTAATTTTTTGAAATTGCTACATCGAAGTGTACATATCATGTCATATATGTGCTTCTTAGACACAAAAAGTTAATGCAGGCTATGGTTTATGAAACTAAAGATGGAAAAATAGAATTCATGTAGTCGGCCCAAAACAATTTGTTTAAAGCTTTGAGTTGAGTTGGACAGAGACCTATGAAGAAATCATTTACACTGTTGGTGAAAACAAACTACCCCTCCCGCACTTTCCCCCTGTTTTTCATTTGATATTATGATAATTTTAATGTTTCTTACAATGATTTTATTTATTCATAATTAGCAACTTGATCTCTCCTTCCCCTTATTGAATTAATAATGTGCTAGCTTCTGTTTCCCTTGGTTGCTCCTCGTTTGTTTCATTTTTGTGCCTTTAACTTTGTTCATGGGTGCATCATTTCTTGCTTGAATGGACCAATCACTTTATGCAGTCCCAAAATTTGGTCTTTAATGGTGTAATGAGCTGAGTTCTCCCCTTATCCTTCCTTCGACAGATTAGTAAGGCTTTGTTTGGCAAAATAGCCACTAAAAAAAAAAAATCGAACATCTTAGTAACTTTTTTCAAAAAGTTAAAAAGCCACTTAAAAAAACAATTCCCAAATGAGGCCTAAGTTAAGTTCTAAATAATATCCTATCCTCACATTCATTATATCTTGTGCCTACATTTTTCTAGAATGATCTGAATTTTTTTTGGGATCCTTCCTTGAAGAGTACAGTGAGTTGCATCCATACAATACTCTTTGCATATTCTTTACCCAATAACTTGGGTTTCTTGCATTGGTTTTTTCTGGACTTGTGGTTGCATCATCTCTACCCTCTTTCTGATGTAGTTGATGCTACATCTACATATGTATTCCAAACCATTAATTTTGTTTATTTATCTGGCAGCCCTGATGATCAGGAGTGTTTCCTTGATTACTTAGGCTGTTTGCTCGAGGATGACAGTAGCTGGTGTAATGGTGCTGATAGTGATCCAATTCATCCATCAAAATCTGTGGACTGCAAGCTTGCGCACTTGTCAGATGAAGTGGAGCACATTTTAATCCTTGAATTACATAAATTATTGTTTGGTATAGTTCTTTCCACAAAAGTTTATGCTGAATTTGATTTCATAAATTATTGTTTGGTACAGTTCTTTCCACAAAAAGTTTATGCTGAATTTGATTTGTGTGACTTGGATGTGTGTAGTTTGATTCTCATACTTGGCAAATCTTGAGATTGAAAGGAGGAAATTCTTGTTTGGAAAGGGAGATGATGACAAACTAATCGAGGCTCTAATGCAATATTTTTTCAGGTATAGTACAACCTTTATGAATTTCTTACTTTTTTGGGCAAATTACATATACCCCCCTCGAGGTTTAGCAAAATTACAGATACCCCCTGAGGTTTGAGAAATTACAGATACCCCCTGAAGGTTATATTTGCATAACAAATTAGGGGGCAAATTGTTATGAAAATATAAACCTCAGGGAGCAATTTGTTATGAAAATATAAACCTCAGGGGGGTATTTGTAATTTCTGAAACCTCAGGGGGTATCTTTAATTTAGATAAATCTCGAGGGAGGTATATGTAATTTTCCCTAATTTTTTTGATGAACTATGGGAAAATGCTATATCACATGGACTCAGGTACAAGTGTCGGGCTTGTGTCTAAGCATTAGACCACCCTAACTCTAAATATTAGTATATAGGGATATGTATCCAAACTCTATGTTACATGAACATGTCTTGAACATTTAAATATATTACATATTGTATAATATTTTGACTTAATATGATATTAATTATTTAGAAATGTATTTGAAATCAAATAGGAATTGGGATTCAGGGGAAAAAGGGGATTTCTATCTCCTATCCACATGAGTGGCTATAAATTTATCTTTACTATCAAATGTAAGTCTTTTCTTCTTCTAACATCATAAAAAATTAGACGATCCAAGCTTCTAATTTTTCGGAAGTTGGACATGTTACACTTGTGAAATTCAGCCGTAACAGGCAGTGACTGCCCATGCCACGTGTGTGTGTGAAGCCATTAGATCAATCATGGCAGTTACCAAGCTTATGGCAGTTACCAAGCTTGAAGCAGTGAGATTTGACAGGGTATTCTAGGCATAGAAAAACTCGTGACAAAGTTTCAAAGAGTTGTGCGCTTTATATAATAGTATAGATATGTTTTTTTTTTTTTTTTTGCAATTATAGTTTCAATAGTTTCATGATTCATACTATTGAATTTTATATATTAGCTATTCTTGTAAATTGTGGACGCTAAAAGTGACATAGATTACTTGTTTTTATATATTTATTATATGTCGTATATTTGAATATTATACATCAATTAGGCACCTCAATTAGGATTGTATATACTGGATTGATGAGACCTAAGAAAGTTTCATGTTTCGACAAAACTTGAACTTGCCTTGCCCCTTTTAAAACCTTGAGCTACATTACATTACTCTTGAAATCACTGGACTGATGAAAGCACACAAAGACAAAAATTGGTAGTTAGATTGTTCCAACAGAGTTTATTTATTTATTTATTTTGCTTGGAGACGGAGAGTTTATTAAATAGTGTAATTCTGCACAGGTTGATCAGCATACTAGTTTCTTTTTTATCACCTTTTAGCCGAGTATTTATGCATGTGTACATTCTCTTTGCTTCTCTTCCTAGAATACTCGTTGTTGTGTGTTTTTCAGAATGCTTTCTAATAGAGAATTAGCTAGACACTCTAGAAGAAGAAAACAAGCCCATTTGACTGAGCTAGAAACACAGGTTTTGTCCTTTATCTTGTCCCTTGGGACCCAGCCTATAACACTCTGCACTTTCTC